ATGGAATGCAGTATTACACAGTAAGTGGGGGTAAGTCACTGTGACAGGGCTGGGTACACTTACTGTAAGATGGAATGCAGTATTACACAGTAAGTGGGGGTAAGTCACTGCAGTATTACACAGTAAGTGAAGGTAAGTCACTGTAACAGGGCTGGGGACACTTACTGTAAGATGGAATGCAGTATTACACAGTAAGTGGAGGTAAGTCACTGTAACAGGGCTGGGTACACTTACTGTAAGATGGAATGCAGTATTACACAGTAAGTGGAGGTAAGTCACTGTAACAGGGCTGGGTACACTTACTGTAAGATGGAATGCAGTATTACACACAGTAGGAGTGGAGGTAAGTCACTGTGACCCAGGGCTGGGTACACTTACTGTAGATGGATGCAGTATTAAACAGTAGTAGGAGGTAGAGAATCACTGTAACAGGGCTAGATGCACTTACTGTAAGATGGAATGCAGTATTACACAGTAAGTGGAGGTAAGTCACTGTGACAGAGCTGGGTACACTTACTGTAAGATGGAATGCAGTATTACACAGTAAGTGGAGGTAAGTCACTGTAACAGGGCTGGGTACACTTACTGTAAGATGGAATGCAGTATTACACAGTAAGTGGAGGTAAATCACTGTAACAGGGCTGGGTACACTTACTGTGAGATGGAATGCAGTATTACACAGTAAGTGGAGGTAAGTCACTGTGACAGGGCTGGGTACACTTACTGTAAGATGGAATGCAGTATTAAACAGTAAGTGGAGGTAAGTCACTGTAACAGGGCTGGGTACACTTACTGTAAGATGGAATGCAGTATTACACAGTAAGTGGAGGTAAGTCACTGTGACAGGGCTGGGGACACTTACTGTAAGATGGAATGCAGTATTACACAGTAAGTGGAGGTAAGTCACTGTGACAGGGCTGGGTACACTTACTGTAAGATGGAATGCAGTATTACACAGTAAGTGAAGGTAAGTCACTGTAACAGAGCTGGGTACACTTACTGTAAGATGGAATGCAGTATTACACAGTAAGTGGAGGTAAGTCACTGTGACAGAGCTGGGTACACTTACTGTAAGATGGAATGCAGTATTACACAGTAAGTGGAGGTAAGTCACTGTAACAGGGCTGGGTACACTTACTGTAAGATGGAATGCAGTATTACACAGTAAGTGGAGGTAAGTCACTGTGACAGGGCTGGGGACACTTACTGTAAGATGGAATGCAGTATCTGTTGCCGGGGAATCGCAAAGTTTCAGAACGTTCTAACTTGTTGCCTTCAGAGAATGAACCACACGTGTTTGCGGCGAGCTTACTGCGCATGCGCAGGGAATGGAGGCGTTCCCACTCAGCGAACAGACTGGCCTGTGACGCAATCGGACGCGCGTCTGTCGCCATGACAACGAAGACGCTAGTCAGCGGCCATGTTTGAAAGGGGAGAGGTTTTAAGGTGTAGCGAGGATAGGGCGAGATTGAGATAGTGACCCCCCCCCCAGTCTGCTGGCAGGGGGTGGGGATTGTCCCCCACACTGAGATATCAGATAAAGAGTTAATTTATGGCCCCTCAGGATTCAATACTAACTGCAGAGCTACCTGTAATACATTGTAACAGCCCTGCAGTATTAATATTAGCCATTATTTACTTAATATTAGCCATTATTTAATTAATATTAGCCATTATTTACTTAATATTAGCCATTATTTAATTATTATCTATTATTTAATTAATATCATTCATTATGAACTTATTATTTATTATTACGTTAATATTAATTATTTAGGTAATAATATCCATTATTTAGTTAATATCATTCATTATTAACCTTGACGTCCTAGGCCCGCACGACGGGACTGCTTCGCTACAGATTACACCAAATACGCACTTTTACCGCACTCTACCCGGTAAGCATCTCATACACAGAGACCTGACCCAATTTGAGACCCTATGCTCCGCGGAGACGCATCCACCGCGGGGAATCGCAGCACTGTACGCTGTGCTTCTCGAGGCCACTCGGAGCCCACCGGAGACGTACCAATACTAGTGGGAACTGGCTACAAGGGTGACAGTTGGAAAAAAAAAAATATGAATTATAAATATAGAGAAGGAACCTAAAAAGAGTAGCCGGGTTATATAGTTCACAGTGCTCTATATTTATAATTCACACTTTTTTCTGTGAACTATATAACCTGGCTACTCTTTTTAGGTTCCTTCTCTATATTTATAATTCATACTTTTTTTTTCACCTGTCACCCTTCTCCTGTTCTTTCGATTTATATATTTGGTGCTATATACTAGTAACACCTAGTAACGCATTGTAGCAAGTGGCTACCGGCGGATATAGGACACCCATCGCTACCGCACCCAAGACTCCTGTAGCCACACAAATACGAGGGCAACACAGTAGACTCAGCCGCTATAATACAGCACTCCAGCACCTGCGGCCTGTGTCTAACAAATTGCCTAGGCCCAGGGGCGTACCTAGGGCATGTGGCATTTTTTAAAACATTTATTGAACAAATTTGTCAACTTTTTAAAACCCCTGCCCCCTCTATAAAATCCCTGCACCCCCTCACACACAGTTTTAGACAGACAGTCACACACAGTTACAAGCAGACAGTCACACGCACACAGTCACATGCAGACAGTCACACACACAGTTACAGGTAGAGAGTTACACACACAGTCAGTTACAAGCAGTTACACACAGTCACGCACACTGTTACAGGCAGACAGTCACATATACAGTCACACACAGTTACAGGCAGCATCACACAGTCACAGACAGTCACACACACACACAGTTACAGGCATGCAGTCACACACACACACACAGTTACAGGTAGACAGTTACGCACACACAGTTACAGGTAGACAATTACGCACATACACACAGTTACAGGCAGACCGTTACACACACAGTTACAGACAGTCACACACACACACACACAGTTACAGACAGTTACACACACATACAGTTTCAGACAGTCATACACACACACACACACACGCAGTGGATTCATTGAAGTCCTGGTAGGTGGAGGTGCAGGGATTCCTACTTGCTGCACCTCCATGTGCAGCATTAACAGCAGCCCCTGCTCGCGGTTAGGCTCCGCCCCTATATATCAGTAGCTCTGCCCCTTCTTCCTCCCATGCAGGCCAGTTTATCTTGCTGGTCTCCATGTGAGCTGTGTGACACCCCAGCTGTCATGGGGCACAGCTCACACAGCCCCCTTTAGCTCTCAGACCTGGGTTATCGCACCCCCCTACCAGGAGGTACCCGGGGCGGACCGCCCCCTCCGCCCCCCTCTTAGTCCGCCACTGCCTAGGCCTAATGTTGGCCGCATTGTGTGTCTACAATACTGAACCGATTGCTTTAACAAATAACTGGTTTCAGCACTTCTGCAATGTGTTATATCACCTATGTTGGGCGACTGCCTAAATGTTTGTGCATACTTATACCTGTTCAGTGAATACTATAATTTCAAAAATAAAGATTGTCAAAAAAAAATATCATTCATTAAGTTAATATTAATTATTTAGTCAATATTAATTATTTAGTTAATATCCATTATTAAGTTAATATTATTTATTATGACGGCAAGTCATGATTTGAGTTTTCGTTAATGGGACACTAGTCACACAGGGCATTGAGATGGAGTGGTCTGGGTGCAGTGTCCCTGTTCCCTTAAATCCTGCATTGTAAATCATTGCTGCTTTGAGAGAAATTGAAATGTTTACATTGCAGAGTTAAAGGGAAACTATAGGCTAGGAATACAAAATTGTATTCCTAGCACTATAAGGCCATCCCATTGCTCCCCCTCCCCTTGCAGCACAGAAAGGGTTAAATACCCTTTTGTCAGTTACCTGAATCCAGTGCCGATCTCCCTCAGTGCTGGGTCAGGCTCCACCTCCGCTTCTCCTCTTCTGATGTCAGGGACCTAATGCGAATGCACGGCAAGTGCCACCATCACTTTAGGACAAACCCATAGGAAAGCATTGACTCAATGGTTTCCTATGGAATTTTAGCTGTTGCTGGATGTCCTCATGCATATCCTCACCCTCTGGTCCCTCCTCCCGCCGGGCTCTAGGGGAAGGAAGGGGTTAGACACTTACCTTTCTCCAGCGCTGGGCTCCCTCTTCTAAAGTCCCTGGCTGAATGCGCATGCGCAGCAAGAGCCGCGCGCGCATTCAGCCAGTCTCATAGGAAAGCATTTACAATGTTTTCCTATGGACGCTGGCATCTTCTCATTGTGATTTTCACAGTGAGAAGCGCGGAAGCGCCTCTAGCGGCTGTCAATGAGACAGCCACTAGAGGCTGTATTAACCCATTTGTAAACATAGCAATTTCTCTGAATCTGCTATGTTTACAGCAGGCAGGGTTAACCCTAGATGGACCTGGCACCCAGATCACTTCATTAAGCTGAAGTGGTCTGGGTGCCTATAGTGGTCCTTTAATCTTGTCTACTATTTGTTTCCCTTTGTGTGTCTTACACCTTCCTTTGTGTATCTCTTACTTTCTCCCACACAGCCACTTTTGTATGTCTTTTCCCCTCGACCACTTTTGTGTGCCTCTTAGCCCCAGCCACTTTGTCGCTTTCTCCCCTTACCCAGCCACTCTGTGTGTAACTGCACCCCGCCTCTCTAGATCTTCTATGTGTCTATTACTCCCATCCCCTCTGTGTCTCTTTCTCTCCCCCAAGCCATTTTTGTGTGCCTCTTTCTCCCCCAGTATCCCTGTGTGTCTATGGTTCCCCTTCCCCAGCAACTCTGTATGTCTATTTCTCTCCCCAGTCCCTCTGTGCATCTCTTTCTCCTCTTCTCTACCCACAGTGCCTCTGTGTTTTTCTCCCCCAGCCACTCAGTGTGTCTCTTTTCCCCATCCTCTCTTCCAACCCCCAACCCTTCATGGTCATTTCCACCCTCTCTTTATAGTCTCTCCCAACACCCCTCCTCAATTTGTGGTTTCTCCCCCTCCTATGCCTGCTGACCCCCCTCCATGTAGCATGGCCAGGGAAACCGCAGAAGAGCATCTTCTGTATCATCTATCTGGCCTACCAGAAAGCTGTTTGTTGCTCTCATCACTTTCTGTCAGACCAGGTAGAAGATACAGAAGATCCTCTGCCGCAGTCCGCACGGCCACACTACATGGTGTGACTGTCAGGATTTTTAGTGCTGTAATCTGTGCTCCTATGCTGATGGTCACGCGGCGATTGTTCCCCTGTGCCGCCTTGTGGTTGTTGGCCTGTTAGCCGGCCTACTCGTCTAAAGCTCCGCCTCTTTGGCTGAGACCACCAATATTGATGATCTCAGCCAATCCAAGGATTCTTCAGCTGTATACATGAACTTTGGGTCGGACAATCAGTCATTATGGTCTTCCCTGTATGTGTGCAGGGAGTGGATTAGGGAGGGTGGAGCATGTAGAGTTAATTTAATTTAAAGGAAGTGGCTGGCAGCTTGCAGACTGCTAGCTATCTGGGGGGAGAGAGGGCTTGAATCATGCCACTAATTTAGAGGTGTACATGCATGCCACTGTATTATTTTATGGTTATTTAGAGCTGCCAATGGGTGTGGCTGGTTTTGGGACATTAGCCCGCCCATATTTAATAAGTACCCTTCATCTGCTGGCAACAGGTGGGTGGACAGGGATCCCACCAAACTATGTCCCACCCATAATGCTACACTTCCCATCCGGGATTAAGGGCCCTTTAGTGACTGAGCATCAATGGCTGCCCAGCCACTAATTTTAAATATTTAGCAGATATGCCCCCACTTACCATGCAAGTGGGGACACAGCAAGATCTTTGTCATCCCAGTTATTCTACAGATCCCATCTCTATGGGATGGGTCCTTACTAATCAACGGGCAGCAATGGCTACTACTTTTAAATATTTAGGAAATGCCCCCACCTACTGCATGGCTTATAGCAGGGCCAGACTGGGACAAAAATTCAGCCCAGGCAATTAAAGGCAGAGCAGCCCACTATTAGGGGCGGGGTCAGAAAGGGGCGTGTCATGTCACCATCATTGACATGCACACCCCCTCCCCCCCACCAAATGAGTTGTTAATATGTTAATGTCACGCTTCTCCAGAGTATCTAGTGCTCTTAGATGAAGTAAATGCCATGTTGTTTTTCTTGGGGCGCAAGCATGCGCTGTGTTTGCTGGCGATTTGTCTCTGGTGTCCTCAATAGAGAGATACCAGAGATCAAAGCAGGAACAGGGCTGTTAAAGTGTTGTGCATGTGTGGGGATGTTCCCTGTGGTGTTGTATATGTTTGGAGGTTGCATGTGTGTAGAACAGACTATCTGTGTTGTATTGTGTGTAAAGGGGTCTGTTTGTGGCGTACTGCATGTGGCTAGGGGCTGCAGTGTGTGTTTCTGGGCTGTAAGGTATGTGTG